ATTCACTGAGTCACGTTTACCCAAGAGGATAAATGGAGATCTAACTGGCTCCCGCTAGATACCCGACAATCAATACCAAGATAGATGATAACAGCTCATGATCGAAAAATTGATTTTCCTCTTCTATAAGCACAATACTTGGTGAAGCAATCCATGAACTGTTCGTTCCATGACCATCAAAATAAGTATTGCATAAGAGCACCGCCTTAGACAACAGACATACTGCTGAAGACATGTGTCGTATGATTCATTCGTTTCGTGGCAAAACGACTGTCTTATTTAAGAAAAATATTGTGGCGGGCTTTGACGAGCAAAAATCCCTTCCATATACAGAAATTTACAAAAAAGTTTTCCAGATTAGCTTATCCACCTCATTTGAATCTCATAGTAGATACTAATACCTCTACTTCACCAAAATTTGAAACAGAGGAATACGACGCATGCTAGACCAAAGCAGCATATAGTAAATAGTGGCGAACACACCATGGGTACTCCAACAGCAATATAGCAAAATCCCTTATATAATTCCGTCATATTCTCTTCTCCCCACGAACTCTAGTTAGTACAAAAAATTATTGTCTACAAGTCAACGTTTTCTTGAGGATCGATCACGAGGTTAGTACGGCGATAGTTATTTCGTAATAGCTAAAGTTTCAGCGAATTTCTTCTACTTCAGAACTACGAAAGGATCACGGTGACAAGAAGTCAGCTCATCCAAGTACCAAATGTCATCCATTCTTGAAAAACCCATAAACAACATGAAATCGCGCGCCATCCCATGGAGCACCCATGTAAATTTGAACGTTAAGCATGATGTGTGGAAGAAATAACCATTATCTCTCAATTAAGGAAGAACTTGAAAATCACCGTTCTTACTATGAAAAATAAACCGGGGTTCATCAAAATTGACAGGAGCGGTTAATAAGAGCCAAAACTTCAACATGACCCCACTCGTAAAAAGATTCTAGACTAGGAAAAAAGAGTACATCGCATGGGTCTCACATCAACTTATCGCCCAATTTATCGCCGCACTCGCATCGAGTTGAATCAGTTCATGTCGGTCGATCCGCCCTTTGCTCCACAAGAAATGACCTTGCGCCCGTTCTGTTCTATTTTTCGCCTTGTAGTCAGTTTCTTATATGTTTCCTAGGTACCTAGGCTTTTCTATGTAGGTTCTTGCATATATTACCCCATGGTTCTCGAATATTTCGAACTTTGGTAAATGGTGAAAAAAAACTCGTTCACTCTACAATTACAGTACTGTCCGCATTTGAATACCTAGCTGTTTGAACAACATATATGAACTGTATGTCACCGTATATTAAAATAGCTAATTTCATGTGATAAACATGTCCCATCATCAATGTCGACCCACCAACCACCGAGTGACTTGAGCGGGCGTCAGTAGACCTTCTATTTCTCTTTGCCGCATGCAGTAGCCCAATGGATTTTGACCGCTATAGAAACCCGTTAAGCATCATACCTTCTTTCCTTCCAAGGTTCTCGTGAAAAACTCTGACCAGCGGGTCGATGGAATGCCCAACTTGCAGTGACATCCCGAAGAATCCAGTTTTTAATGGATCTTTTCCATTGGTTGTCGTTCACACGCATTACGTGTCTGGACGACCTTATTCGACAATTTGCCGCTCAAAACGGTGTCTTTGTTTTCTAATCGTTGACGTAGGTCAGAGCTTCGGATCTCGCCTCTCCGCTGCAATGATACGGGAAACCTCCAACAACGTCCGTCCGACGGCGAGTTCTATAACGATGAACGATCTTCCATCTTGCTTATGTAGCGGCCAGGTTTCTGACGTATACGTTAAGGCAAGAGGAATCGCAGAGTCGAAAAGATGAGCACGGAGGCGGGTATTCTTCGTTCTTTTCACTACATCCCCGATGCTCTTGAGAGCTATCCAAGCCGCCCACTTCTTCCTTATCATATCCTTGTTTGGAGCTAAGTCGTTCATCACGTTAACTTTTCAACCTAAACAAACTTAGCAAGAGCTTTCGGAGATATTCATTTCAATGGGCGTTAATTGAGCATACGAAACAAATCTGTTCTACATGAACAATGTTCCTGTGACATTTAGTCGAAGCTCAACCTATCCGCAAGCGTTATTGAAGTCGGACAGCACTGGTCCCGCCAGGCTAAAGCCAGGTGTTATCGGAACGGTGTCTTCAGAAAAGCGAAGACAGTGCAATTGCTGACTAATGGCTTTCACTCAAATATTTGTCCATTTCAACGCTCGTATGACGTTATTATTCTATTTCCAACTATTATGGTTCAAAATAGTAGATGTAGACATCTCAGATGAAGTAGATGGGGAGTATCGATAGATGGTATTAAAACTTTTCTTAGCATTTTCATTCCATCCTCACCTCAGTATAAAGTCCAAACTTTAAAAAAATTGAAAAAACCGAAGAAGTCTAAAAGTCAGACAAGGCAGACACAAACAACAACGGCATAGTATGGAAGACCATTTTGGACGAAACTGCCTTTTCAACCGATTCATGATTTAAATTACAACCTTCTACGAAAAGATTACGCGTTGTGAGATGTTGTTGTTCCATATTCTTATAGTAACCAACATTTCGGCGGATTGGGCCCTATTCAGAACCTGGAAACACAAGTCAACTGTAAACTGGTCAACATTGTCAACAGTAGCCTGCGGTGGGGAATAAACGCACTATTACCCTTTACGGGGGATAACGCGTTCACCACATCATGCGGGTCCTTCGTTTCGCCTTTTCGCCTGTCTCTCAGATAGCTCTATCGATAAGTGCTATCAGCAATCACCTGTCAGCGGGATTGATCTGGAGAGCCCAAGTCGGCAATGAACCCAGTTAAGCTGAGGCTGTAGTTATAATCACAATTATAACTTAGTATTTACTGCCTACTCTTTTCAATGGCAAAATATGTGTACGTTTTTAATGGCAGACACCTGCGGTCCGGAGTTTTGCAAATATCTCAGATCAATGAGGTTATATTTCGCAACACTTTGCCATTAAAGAGAGTAGGCAGTAAATAATAAGCTAAAACTGTGATTATAACTATAGCCTCAGCTTAACTGGGTTCAATACAGATTTGGGCTCCCCAGATCAATCCCGTTGACGGGTGATTGCTGATGGCAAAAAGATCGATAGAACTAGCTGAGAGACAGGCGAAACGAAGGACTCGCTTAGTGTGGTGGTGAACGCGTTAGTCCCCGGAAAGGATAACACCGCGTTCGTTCTCCACCGCAGACACTTGCGGTCCGGAGGTTTGCAAATATCTCTGCGTTATTGAAGTTATATTTCGCAACATACCGTGCCAATAAAAAGAGTAAGTAGTAAATAATAAGCTAAAATTGTCAACAGTGTCACATTCTCAGTACTTCAGGAGAACCAGCCAGGTATATGTTAGCTTTTCTTATTCTTTAGTTCAAACACAAACTTTACCTCATATTTAGGGGACTCCAAGCAATAAAAAAATATAAACGTGTAAGAAATATAAATTGTAGCAATTTTTGCTGTAAAATAAATCTATGTAAAATCCTGTAACGACAGAGGAATACTATGATCATATTAGTTAGAAATAAAATGTAAGGGATAAAGGATTCGGCGTTTACCAACCACTAAAGGATGCGCCATGAATTAGAGTTCATCAACTACCGCAGAGGCGAAAGAATGCACATATGGTCAATACGTCAATGACTTAATGGAACCTAGCAAGATATTAAATCAATGTTTCTATCCATCCAGACATGTCTGGTACCAACTGCCGAACCAAAAAGAATGGAGGACCTAGTTTGCATGAAGCGCGCGAACGAACCAATGGCCTAGTGCGTACTGCACGGCACCGCTAACCTCTGCTCTACACGAGCTTCACATTATTTAGAAATTCCTGTCAACGCCTAACTCTTTTACAGACAATGGTTTTAGTAACGCTAACTATACAATCATACTATAGCTGCGTACAAAAAGATCTTAAGTGCCGAACCTCAGAGTTAAAACACAGCAGCCATAACTTGGAGAATATCGTCTTGACTACCAAGACTCTGTCACCGCCACCTTCCAAAAAACAGTTATGCTCTGCAATTAATATAGAGAGTAATTCCTCAATTTCCTTCCAACGGTTTACCGCCTCATCGTGACTAGGATGTGTTCCTCGGTGTCGGACTGCGGTGTACAGCGGGCGATTCATCCCTAGGCATGGTCTCCCAAGCTGAGTCTGGCGTTTCCACTAGGAAGCACAGCTAAGAGAAAATCAATACCAGGATCCACCACCGTCCTGGTATCAAACTAGTCGTATGGTGACAAATCTCCCTCTGATCCATAAGCGCTGCAACTGCTTGTGGTGGCAACGACCTGGGGCAGACTTTGGCCAGGCTGAGCTCGAGACTCCAAGGAACCACAATGGCTCAACCAGCAAGACTCCGAAAAAGTGGAAATTATGCTGGAGCCCGCACAACCAGTGAGGACGAGCTATTTAAATATCCAACTATCCAAGTAACTTTTCCAGTTCGACGCCCAGATCAATACTGCGCAAAGGACAGCTATAAGATTGAATACAAAACATGGAGCAAAAACCTCTGCTTGTCAAAATAGGCGAATGGAAGGTCAACCGCCTGATATTAATCCACGCTGGCTGATCCAGCTCTGTAATGAGTGGAAGTCCACTCATGAAAGACTCTCGGCGTTAAGCAACACCACAATCGCTACCTAAGAAATAATCAGGACAACTCTTAATAACTCAAAACACTGGCTTTCTATAAACCTCGGCATAGAAAGTTGACATATTTATTCACATGACCTTATAAACTGATCTTCTTTAGCTGATGCGAGGTTAGTATTGGTCTTCGTTGTCGCTGTCGTTGTTGTTTTTGCTGTAGTTCTCGTCGATCGATGGCCGACGTTTCGGCGATTTCGCCTTCCTCAGAGCCGTGATGTTACGAGTGGGACAACAACGACAACGACAACGAAGACCTATACCAACCTCGCACCAGCTAAAGAAGATCAGTTTATAAGATTATATAAATAAATAGATCAGGACATCCGTTGAAAGAAAAAGAAACCAACTTACCCGGGACCCACTTCTGGATCTTAATTTGAGTGTCCTTTATGAGTACCCACTTCTTCTCCCACTTTCGCACTTTTTCTATCGAACTGATGACTTTTCGAAGCTCATCCTTTGTACGATTTCTCGTCTCAGCACGATGAGAACGATTAGCGGAGTACATTCCTCAAATCAGCAAAATACTGCTCATCTATTACACGAGTATATTGGCAGAATGAACAACTGAACAAAAGAAAGCGAGAAGGAAAATGGCGAAAACGAGTAGAGAAGTCGAAAAATGGAAAAGATGAACACGAAAATTAAGAAACGATCGCTGAATACTCTCATGCCGTTACATTACAATCATGCTAAAAAGGATAAAGCACTCGGCGTTCATCAATCTCTGAGGGTTGTGCCATGCATTCGACTTCATCAAGTATCGTTGGAAGTGATTGAATGCATATCTGGCCTTCACATGACTCGCGGTAGCCTGCCGATGTATCGAGCCAGTACTGCTATCCTCCCAGACAAGTTTGGACATTTTCCGACCCCGGAGGGATGGATGGCTTGGCGGTCTGAAGCGTGGGAACGATCCCATGTATATTACAGGGCGCCTCCAATCACTTCGCAACACTCACCCGCATGCCGTTATTATACTATGTTGTTTCTTGAATTATAGATAGATTTTCTACAAGCGGAGTTAAAAAGCCACTTTTGAACAGGATCTGAACAGTTCTCTCCGTTGCATCTGTTGTGCAACGGAGCACCGATTGCGAATGGAGCAGATAATTTCAACTACCATAGTGAACATGGCACTTACGGACCAGCTCGAGCGAAAACGTTTGGTGGGACAATTCGTAAAAACTTTTTTGGCTGGACCATTGTGAGCCTCCGAGTTACTAAGATAGAACAGGCTTATTTAAAGTATAAAGGCCAAGTTATTCTCGACTAGATTTGTGCTGAAACCATGTTGGCTAGTCCGTCATGTGTTGAATAAGAATCAGGACCACCAGCGAAGATTTTAATGAACGTTGACCAGTAGTACGTGGCTTACACATCAATTAGACGAGATTTATTTGCAAGCGATTGTACGAGTGCCATTGACAATCTTGAAATGAAAACTGGAACGTCTACTGAAGAAGATCCGTCTCGGTACGACGATGAAGAAGCCACATCGAGAAGAGGAACAACTGTGGACCATCGACTCGGGTCATCGGCACTGAGGAAGAGGAAGACGTCGAAACGTTAGCGGAACAAATCTGTTCATCAACCTCGTGTAAGCCCAACAATTTGAATATTTGTTGAATACTGAGCTGCTGGTAAAAGGCCGAAATTTGCGTCCACCTAGTACTGTTTTCATAGAAACAGTCGAATGCTGTGCAAAATCCCCGGGTTTCGGAGTGATGTTGCTGGTCTATTCCTAAAATGGAAACTACAGGACCAGCTGAAGTATGGCCTTCCGTCATCCCTAACGGTCAATCGGACCAGAGCCTCGTGATATTCATTGTGTATGAGAGGTCTGACCATGCCCTACTACCTTGGTTCAGAATCCCCACTCACAGAATGAACTAGTAACGTGCCAAAGTATTGACGAGTCATACAAATGAAGATGTCCATGCTTTAACAGTTCCTGTGTCAATTGAAGTCTCGTTGTGGAAAATTCGTGTCAGGACTAACATTGATTTGTGATTTTTTCATTGAAATAGCGGTTGTCATGTTCTACTTGCTGTTAGGACTTCTTAAGTTCAAAGATTTGGAATGTTTCACTTGAAGGTAGCATGGTGCGCAGGACTCGATCGTCTTCATCAAGAGGTGATGGCAAGGAGTTGTCAACCAGAACAGAGGTCAGTTTTCCTATAACGTTTATAGTGGCGCTTTTTCTTCTCAGAAGGTTTGTAGTTGTTTAAGTTTTCTTCTACTCAGGATACAGGACCATCGTTATCATCTGCCGCGCCTCCTTCTGTTCCCGTAAATCGCACGGGTGAAGAATTGTATGTGTTTTGTAACACAATGTTTCAATAGAATTGCGACTTCCTGTGATCTCCTTAGTGTCCTAAAATACCATTTTTAGGCTGGTTCGTTCCGGTGATGTCCATCCTGAAGGTGAACAAACACAGAAAGCTCGAGGTTAGTGCGTTTTACTTAATGATATAAAGTGCCGTTCGGTGGTTCGTAGCATGACTTTTTATTCGTACCCGGTATTTTTCGTTTTCCCTATGAGAAACTTCTACAGTACTAGTGCGACCGTAATGTAATTCCAAGGTAGCGAAACATTTAGTTTATTAAATTTACCCTTTGGGGAATGGAACCACTATTTTCCGAGTTATTTTTTGAAGGGTTATATATAGCCATCGTGAGAAAATACGTTTCTAGGGAACCCGAAGAATGCTCATTCATTGGCAACAACACCGAGAATAGATGTAAGAGAGGTGTGGATTTATCTTTGCTGATTTTTTGTGCTTCACTATCATATTTGCTGATGTTCGATTAGTTTGTACAAGTCCATTTAAGCGCCCATCGCTGGGGCGGAAATCCAGGAGAAATGAAACGCGTGGTGCGCGATCGAATACCAACGAGAGCCAAACAACCGCATCTGATGAAGAAAAGGTTTTCACAGCGATATTGGTTCAGATCCCGTTGACGGGTGATTACCGATAACACCTATAGATCAATAAGAACACAGAGAAAAAGGGGGACGAAGGACTGGCATGGTGTGGTGGTGAACGCACTGCCCCCAGGAACGGGTAATAGCGTATTCTATCCCCACCGTAGACACCAGTGGTCTGGAGTTTTGTAAATGTCAGCATCATTATGGTGATATTGGTTTACATTCTTTTTCAAAATTTGGGCAGCTGTACCTTTTGGTACAAATTCAGTTTTGTTTTCAAAATGATTACTTTCTTGCTTTTTGTGTTCGTATTTACAACCGCTTAAATTCAATGCAAAACAAAGTTTTTTACCCACTTCTAGTTCATCTCCGGTGCGGAAGCTCTGTTTCTAACTTAATGCTATGAAGTTAAGCTACACGGTTTACCTTATAATGGTTTTTACTTCTTTATTGCTTATTTGATGCTTGTGGACTTTCTAGGAAGTGTTTTCTCAAAGTGGATCAATCACGGAAGAAAGTATGTCCTCTATGGAAAAGACGCCGATACGCAGCCGAAAACGACAATATTCAGCTTCAAATCAGGTCGAATTACTTAGTTTCTACCTCTGTGGATTCTTCTTCGTTTTGAAGTTCTTCACTTTTTCTTAAGTCATTTGATTTATGATTGATCCTTTGGAACTGTGTTTAATCATTAGTTTTTTTTTTTTTTTTGAAATAATGGAGTTTGGAACTGTTCAGCACTCGCCTGCACGAATCACGAGGTCAATGAGAAGAGCTGGTGTAGTAACTCCTGAGAACGTTGTAACACTAGAGGTAGTAGCAGAATGCTCTCATGGTGATGACGCTTTAAAGGAGCCAGATAAACAGGAAGAAGTTATACAGGATGTTTTAAATTCATCATTAAAAACTGGTAGCGAAGCCAACTCATCACCAGTGAGAAAAGACGGTGAGGATGTCGAAAAATTCGGTTCTGTGAGAAGGAAATCGATGAGCACAAAGTCGAATAGTTCACCACTGAAGAACATGTGTATGGAGCAGAACAATCCTTCCATAGAACCTGCTTCACTGGAGTGGCCAACCTCGCCAGTGAAATTGACTACTGAGGAAGGAATATCCGTTCATCGAGACAAGCAAATGGCGATGGAATTTGCTGTTTCTTGCCTGGAAAAGACATCTGAAGGAGATAACGCCTATGAAACTCCATCTACTTCGATAGCTGATAACGGAGATAGACGGAGTAGTATATCGAAGAATGAGGAAATACACATAACAGAAGCAAAATATAGCCCAAGGGAGGCTACCGATGACGTATCGATGCCAGTTCCGAAGCAGTCACTGAAAAGTGGATCTGTAGAAGTAGCCTGCTCGGAAGTAACCATCGATGAGTTCTCCGAAATGCCTCTCTTAACGAAGTTATCTGTAGACCATTCGCCTGAGGAAAACCTTGCAAAAGGACGAAGTGCTTTAGAATCGAAAGGTGTGTGATATATTCATCTATCTTGAGTATCTCAATTTGTTTGCCACTACAAATGTTCGATCTACATGTATTGTTCTTACATTCTTATTAAAGTGAAGGTGCTAGCCAAATAGGTATGTAAAGATTTAACCTTGAATTAATGAGAACACCCATTTAATAGGATAAAACTGCAAGGTTAGAAAAGGGCTTTGGGTTTCTAATATTTCCATTAGATCCATCTTTTGCTTCATGAGAAATCTTCTCATTCTATTTAGAAGTATTGAAATTGTCCACTTTTGAGTCCTCGAGCAAAACTTCACGAGAGTCGCCCAACATTTGTTTCATGGACGAAGCCACGTCGGCACATGAGGTAACCACATATTTTTCTTTCGAGCTTATGAAGATCTTCATATGCTACTGAGTGTCTGCTTTTGCTAGGATTAGTGTTCAATAAATCTAGTACTTTCAAAAACTTCATCGATGACGTAGAGTTTTTAGAGTTTCTATTTGCAGTTTTCTCAATTAAGACTAGGGAGTTACCTTTGTGTGGTCGCTGTTTAATACTTATTTGCTTTTCTCCTAATCAATATCGCTACTCTGAAGTTGCTCGGTCATTTGTTTTGACCGTTCTTTACATGTTCATGGAAAAGTGCAGCCTGTTTTTGGTGAATTAACCTTAAATTAAAGAAAAGCTTTCATAGGGTTATCTAGATTCCATATTTGAAACTATTCCTGCTTGATTTTACTACATGAGAGGATACTTTTCATTTTTTCTTTTCTTTGACGAATAATTTGGTAACGGTCTAAAATTATAATTAACAGTAACACCACAATGGTGAAAGGAGCGGACTTATCGCCATGTTACTATTTCTGTGTCTCAAAAAAGTTTAAAGCGAAATAAACGAGAATACTCCTCGATTTCTTCATAGACCAGTGGGTCTTGGGCTTTTGTTTTCTCTGTATGTCCCATTTTCTGAGGTTCTGCATTATTTGAAATTATTCCGCAATAACTTTCAACTTAAAAATAAATTTAGTGAATACCAAAGCGTTATTGGTGGTTTACACTTAAAAATAATACAAAAGAGTCGTGATTCCTAAACTTTTTAGGAGTTTCCACCGG